TGGTCTCCCTTTGTTACCTGGTGACAATTCGAAACCTGTCGGAGGGCATGGGATAAGTTAACTTCGTGACTAAATACGACTTCTCTTTAACCAAGTTTCCCTCGACTTTGGACCTTTCCATACAATTCATCCTTTGTTTTAATAATTAAAAAAACATTCATTGTTCAACCGAGACCCCTAATTCTTCCTATTCATGTCTGAAAAATAGATTTTTAATTTCTCAATTGATGTCCACATTCAGACCCCCAAATCAACTTCTGTCCTGGATCTCACACGTATAACAAAATCACATTAATCAAATATACCATCTATGTTATGTAAAGACAGCTGGTAAAGCTACATTAATTAAAACTTCTGCCATGTATATAAAGGGATTGCTACAATTAATTTCATGCATTAATCAAATCCCACATTAAGCAAGGAATACCTGTATTGTAAATTCACTTCCACACCTTCCACATTTAATTTAAATTTCCTCACAATTATTTATAAATAACCTGAAATTTTAATTCATTAATTTCTATTAATATATACAATTTGAATATAATATATAACTGTGGTATTATAATTGTCTGTTAAACAATATGTATGGATATATTACATACAGATTGTTAACAAAAGTCTCTGCCTGGCCAATTATTTCAAAAAATAAGGCAATGTAGACCTTCTGCTAATGTACAGCATGGCATGCATTTACTAAACTGGTGTAAATTTCCACCTTCTCCAGTTTTCTATTGGGGAGGGCTGTTGTAATCTCAGTTCCTAATGCAAATTCAGTAGTTATCTTTCATTTAATGAAAATTTAGTAGTTATGAATCATTTAATCTACCATATTTAACAGCCTGTTCCAGGATACCATTTGATATTTTGAAATGCACTAAAAGGTAATAGTACATATTTTTTCATGTGCTATGATTTTGTAATTGATAATTTTGCCCTATAATTATTAGGAGCCAAGATTACAATTAGGTGGAAATTTGCACTATAAGTTAACAAATGCCTGACATAGGTCTATAGGTTAACAAATGCCTGCTGTAGCAATAGGTGTACATTGCCCTATTAGTTTTTGAAATAATTGACCAAGGGGAGCCTTTTCTTACCATCCTGTATAAGATTATAACTTAATCAAATGTTTCCTATTCAGTAATGTCTGAAGTTTCACATAATAAATAGGTTGAGGAAAGTTAAGAATATATGTTTTCTAGAAGATATGAAAAGTAATTTTTCCAATAAATAAGTAAAATAACTGTAGTTATGATTTTGATCATCAGAGGAAAAGTAGCAATATACAATGTGAGAAATATTCTTTCTATTCATATTTTACTTAATGTGATAAGCTGAGAAAAGATTATCATCTTTTCTCAACTTAAGTACCACCAGTACCATTAAGTATCACCAGTATCCGCTTTCACATTGTGAAAGTGAATACTGGTTGTACATCTTTATTAATTTGTTCATTGATTCTTTTAGAACCAATATAATAAAAGCTCTCTAAATCTTTGACTAGTATTATCATATATACTCTGACTTTATCTTTGATTTGTCTTTGCTTCTTAAATTTAGCATCTATCTATGCTGAGGCAATCATGAGAAGGGCCAAGCTGGATGAATCCAACATTGGTGTTTAGGTCAGAGGCAGGAATATAAACAACCTCCGCTATATAGATAATATTATGTTCCTTGCTGAAAACCAACAGGATCTTGAAGAACTAATTCTGAAAGTCAAAACAAGAAGTGAGGCCAATGGGCTGTTTCTGAATATCAAGAAACAAAACTCCTGACAACGGAGGCAAAGCCATGATGACAATTGGATGTGAACAACTTGAAACTATCCAGGAGTTTATATTCTTGGGATCTACGATAGTCTATGATAATGATTCTGTGAGGGATGAACAGACCCACAATAAAGTGTTATTTTAAATTTTAATTTGGAAAATATAATCGGTTAAATTCGAACGTTTTATCGAGTTAGGCTAAAAGCCATAAAATTTATTTCCCACGGAGTTTGTTCCTTGTTGAGTCGGATCAAGTTAGTCAGGGATGTGTCACCAGGAACTTTTGATGGAGAATCCATATTGGATGTGCGACCGTTAAAGGCCATCACCTGACCTCATGGAAAAAACCCAAGAGGAAAAAAAAAGAGAAAAGAAAACGATCCCGAAGTCAGTCGTCATCCGAAGTCCCTCTACAGAAGTCGTCA